CACAAGCCTTAGATTCAAGATATAGTGTCGACACATGTATTCTCTATGACTTGATGAATATGTCGCCAACATGATTTTGAGATGTTTTTGAGACTGAATAATATTTGAGAGCAATGTTTTGAGAGAATTAAGTGTTGTGAAAAAATAGTGAAAGAAAGCATGTTTTTATAGTATTAGGAGATAAAACGTTACAAAACTCTTGTAATTCTATTATAAATTGTAATTAAAGAAAATAATTTAATTTAATAGGGTGAAAAACCTTTTGTATTCTAGCATTGTTTAGATCATGGATATTTATTATTATATTATTATTGATAATCAATAATCAATAATTAATTTAATATTTATAATAAATTATTAATAACATAATTTGTAAATTAATAAATTAAGAAAGGGACAAAAGCGTCCAAAAATGTTTCTCCGAGATCCTTCCATTTTAATATAGTATAGATTTATAAAAATTGAGAAATAATAAACATAAATAGTTGTAAATATTTGTAATGTTTTTTTAACGTTATTGTATTTTTGGATCAGATATAACTAACAACACGTTATTCTTTCTCGATCTAACTAGGAAACATAATTACAATCATGTTAACTAGTGTATAGTTAGTTAAGTTATGTCTCTAAAAGAGAGAGTTTTCTTTTCTTTTTCGTTGGAGAAAAGAAAAAAAAAGTTTGAAAATTGATTAAACACGGATGTAATATTTTGGCGGTAAAAAAAGAAAAAGAAAAAGAAACGCGTACTGTACACGGGATTGACCGAGTCAACTGCTTAAGAAAAGATAAATGAACCAAACGCGTAAATTACACGCAAATGACACGTAATCTTCATCCTATATAAGGGTTCTGTGCGTCTTTTTCCTCTCAGTCCAGACTCGAAGAAGAAATCGAACGACAGATTCTCCTTCCATCTTCTCCTTCCGCCAATTCCATGGCGCGATTCCGGCGAATCAATCCATCCATCTATTTGGGAACTCATAACAGCGCCAGCGCTAGGGTTAGGGTTAGGGTTTACGAGTTCTTTAGTATGCTTGGAAATTTTGGCTACTGCTTAGACTTTCTTTGATGGTGTTAACAGCGGCTAGATATGTTTTCTAGCCTCAGGATGATCATTAACATGGAAGCGCTAGCATTGCGTGCCACTTGAGACCGCTGCACAATTCGTTCGTATTTGGTATCGAATGCTTTCGCTTAGTGAGATATTTAAGTGATTTTCTTTCCATTGTTGACGGCAAGTTCTGCACTAACTTCAACACCCAATTTGCCCGTGATACCATCGACTTCGAGAAATTCTACTCCGAACACTCGTCTTCAATTCAGGTACAATTTTTACTATAAGAATGAATTTTGTTAAATAAAACAGAGAAAGACTAATTTCGAAAACTTTGTTCTAACTAATGAGCTTTCTGTTACATAATGATAATGCTCTGCAGTCTGGTTGGTGCAAGCCGGCAGATGATTGCAATTTCGTGTACGGGGGGCCGAATGAAGATAAGTACGGATCTTCAGAAGACTAAGAAGTTATCTAAGAAAAGCAGGAAAAACAGCAGAATTGGTACGCAACTGTTGCCTTCGAGGTCGAGGAGAATATTGGATAAGTGATGGATTGTGGGTGAAAGGGCACGGGGAAAGGCGGAGTCCTGAGAACTCATAGTCCAACTGGGGATATGAAGTCTTCTGGTTCATATACAAGACAGAAGGTAAATATTTTGCCAATGCAGATACATTCCAGTAACGTTGTTGCTGTTCTTTCCTTATCCCACTCCACAAGTACTTGAGAAACTAATTCTTGCACTGTTTCGGTGTTAAACCTTCGGTTAGAATTTTAGAGCTCTAGAGTTTTAGATTGCTTTTACAGAATTGGAGTCAAGGATGCCAAAATAGCTGAATTGTTATAATTCAAATGATTTCAAAAAACTATTCCAGAAACAGAATTTATTGTCCGCCATTGAGATGGTGAGGATTTCTTCAGTTGAAAGTTGAATCATTTGTAAAGTGCTAGATACATTGTTTTCAAGATCATAATTTTTAAATTTGATAAGATTCCATCATTATCATCAGTTGAAGTTCTCTATATATGCATGTTTGGAAGCATTAATCAGTTTGTTGATGTAGAAATAGAAAACACGCATAGGACCTGAAATTTATCAGCTGCTATAGTCGCCATGCATGTTGTAACTTATAATTAATAAAATTTCGCTGCCTTCTAAAAACAAAGCAGTATTCTGGCGTTGCTTTATTTTCAAGAATGGGAAAGTTGAGTTACCATTAATTAATTAATTAATTATTTTTTTTTGTTACAGACTGCGAGTGGATATGCCGATGGTGGAATAAGAATTTGGAATGGTGACATAATGGGGTTGTTACCGTCCTTAAGTGTACAACAAGCTTGGTTCCTTGTTTGCAGGAAGTAAAGATAACAATGTTATACCATGGGATGTTGTTGGTAAGACAGAGGCTTTTTCGCTTCTGTGGCCATCGTGATCAGGTTCACAATTACATTTTAATTGGAGCTCTTTTCTTTTTCCCTTTTGTCCTCTGATAGAAAGATTGACTTCCATTGCTAGCTTAACTTGGTACATTAAAGGAAGGGCAGATGAATGTGCTCAAAATAGCTTTGAGGGCCGGTGCAAAATGCCCTGTCAAGTGTGGAAGGAAGATGAAGGTGAAAAGGGAAGATGTTAGGGAAGCCATTGAAGAGGTGATGGTTGAAGGAGAGGAAGCTGAAAGTCGGAGAAAGGGGGCTGGATTATATTGGAAATTGGTGAAGAAAGCTGTGAGAGAGGAGGGTGGGGCTTCCCACCTTAACACTACGCTGTTGATCAAGGAAATTCAGAAAATTTGGGCTTGTGATGATAGGTATTTGAAGTTTTGAATGATATTTCATTTTCTGCATAAAATGTCAATACAATTATACAAGTTTAACTTGACTCAAAATGTCAACACATTAGAGGGCGTCTCTATCGTTTTCTTGGTATGATTTCCTTTCATTGATATTATTGGTTTGTTGTGACAAAAAAAAAAAATCTCTAGGGTTTGATTGTATGATGTATCTATTCTGATTGATCTTCTATATTTCCTTTTTTTAATACAACAAATTGAAATTTGGGTACGAGAGTCTGGATCTCCCACCTGAATGGAAGAAGTAGGTGTAGGTTTCAATTATCACTGAGCTATACTCATGTTGGCAATCTTATATGTTTTGCTTCAAATAATATATATTATATCTGGTAGTCGCGATAATGTTTCCGAATTTTTCCAATCTACAAATGTAATTTATTTCCAAGATTACTACTGGACCTTCTTTAATTCATTTCACCTTAATTGCATTGTGCATATCTAGTAAAGTGGATGAGGATGATAACGTGTAATCTTTTCAGATGTAAAAATGCTAGCATATGAACTAATATTTACAATTTGTTTCGGTAGCACTTTCCCAACCTACTTTCTTTTTCTCTTCGCTTATATATGGGCTGTGAAAGCATGAAACTGAAAGCTTTCAAGATTTGGGGTGAAAGACTCTTTGATTGCGTACCTGTAACCTATATAATATGTAGATTATTTGATGTTATGGTGTGTATTGGGGTACACATCTACTAAGCTGATGGAGCACTATTCCATGGGGATCTAACCTATATAGTACTACATAGATTATTTGATGTGCTAATAACGTTATCTAGGCATATATCTACAATCTATTTCAATTAGCTAATATCCCGTCTTACAAAACACATTATTACAACATTACATAATCTGCGTACTGTATAGGTTTTACCTTACCAGTCCTTTGTAATGCCACTATACACCATTCATATTTGTTTGCTTAAAGTAGGTTGCAGATAATAGATTTGCACCAAAAACATATTATTACCGCATCAAGTAATCTACATATTATATAGGTTACCTTCCTCTCAATCTCTTCAGAATCGAGTTAGTTTTCTTTCTTTTTTTTAGTTTACCAAGACTTTGAAATGCTTTGCTCATTAAAAAAGAAATTAATTGCTTGAGACTTTTTTTTATCTTGTAGTTGCATGCAGAAGCTGGGAAAGGTCAATTTGAGATTGCTTTAGGGCATACCGCTTGTCTCAATGCTGCTGACAACTTAATTTACACTCGTGAAGTGATTAGGGCTACTGCAAGGAAGCTTGGATTGTTGGCAACATTTATGCCCAAGTACGTTTTTGGATTCAATCAAGTAAACACTCACTTGACTGGAATGAGTGCAACAATTTTTTACTGGTTGAACTAGTTTTTGCTAATGTTTGAGAGAGAGACTATTTTTTTGCTAATGGTTTTAACTTGGGACCCATATGAAAAATCTAGTTCCCTATTGAGATTTGAAACATAAATACATAACACATGAGTTAATCCAATAATCCTATTGCTGCTTTCATGAATTCCTAAGAGACTCTTGGTTATGACTTATGATAGGACCTAGACTGTTATTTTGATTGAGACGTGGAAAAAATAAAAAGACAGACTAAAATGGGAGCAACAAAACTAACATAAGTGGTRTAGTATAGTGATGGAAATATGATTTAACCTTCAATGGTTTTATTTTGTCTTGTGGACTTGTCAATGTTCTTGAACTATGAACTGAACTCAATATTCTAAAATGAATAACATTATKGTTTCTTATCATTGCTTAGGTATGCACTGGATGACATTGGTTCTKGCTCCCACGTGCATGTAAGCTTATGGCAAAATGGCAAAAATGTTTTCATGGCATCCGATGGATCTTCCAAACATGGAATGTCAGTAGTTGGGGAGGAGTTCATGGCAGGGGTTTTACATCATATTTCATCAATTTTGGCATTTACAGCTCCAGTTCCGAACAGGTGAACACTACCACTTCAAATTCTATAATTCTAACAATTTAATTTGCTGTATTAACCTACTCCTAACTTTTAGAACGGTGGATTTCACAACATATCAATGTTTGACATTCATTTTATCTATAAGTAGTTACTTATTCAAGAAATCTCAGTGACAACGACCTTAACCTGATTACCAACTAATGCATGCTATACATAGGTATACTTGTATAAAAGATAAACGAGAACATCTTAAACATAAATGTAAGGGTTTGTATACCTGTAAAACTCAACGGGATGCCTTGTCACAAAACCAATTAAACTAAATGTTTGTTGTAATATATATTTAGAAGTTGAGAGACTACAGAAGAAACTCTAGACATTTCAATAAAATACTAAAGAAAGCATACTACCTGGATGGATCACTCAATAGAAGTCTCAGCATCACCTGTTAGGTCACCTGAAAAGTCTGTGAGCAATAGAAATACTCAATAAGTACCTTCTTTAGTGTAGACTAACCATTGTATGCAATGGTCAAAGAAATCATGCCAGCATCAGCAAGAGTCAGCATATGTGAGGCAAGGTTGGGAGTTTGATTGGGTTGACCCCTCCAAAGCCTGGCTCATTGAGGCCAAATACTCAACCGAAGCCCATAATACAAAGCCTGGCTCAAAATCCATAAACCTTGCCCATGGTCCCTGGAGTAACATCTACAGAGGCACCTTATCTTTGACAGAATCTCCTCCCTTGTAAGAAATGGGGCTTCTACATCCTTCTATTATGATAAATGGCTGTTAGACTCGTCCTTGGCATCATCCTTCCCTTGTCTACATGCCCTCTCCCTTCGGAAAACAGTATCTTTTAAGGAGACTTGGAATCCAAATCTATGCTTCTGGGATTTGGATTTTAGGCGACACTTAAAGGATGACAAAATAATAGATTGGGCCTCACTATCTAGCAAACTAGAAGCCACCCTCCTCTACATCGGTGAAGACTATTGAATTTGGCCACTGGACAGCAAATGCACCTTCTCTACCAAATTTCTTCTCGCAGACATGGTTCCGAAGGGCTCTTTCCTCCACCCATCTCTTGGCAAAGTCATCTGGGGAGATAACTACCCCAAAAGAAATTTTTTTTGGTGAAAGAAACAATTTTATTGATGATATGAAATTACAAAAGACCCACAAAGAGGTTACATAGAGCACTTCCAATTGGAGATGAGGGAAGTGTAACTATAATGATAAATAAGGGGAACATTTGCACCAAGAAATGACTACAAAGACAATTGATTCAAAAAGCCTCTCGTAAGGAAGGTCTTTATAGATGAAAGTGCAGTAGTTTCATTCCTCCATATAATCCAGAAAAGGCTCTTACAAAATGCCTCCAAAGTACTTCCTTCTTTTATGAATGGGTGGCCAATGAGGGTGGCTTCAAAAAGGATGGGAACTGCCCAAAAGAATCAAATTTGATTTGATTTGACCCCAAAAGAATCAAATTCTTTATTTGGGAACTTGCTCACAAGGGAGTCAAACACCTCGGATAGGCTGCAACAAAGGCTTGAATTCTTTGCTCTCTCCCCTCACTGGTGCATACTCTGCAAAAAAGATGGGTGACTCCCTCTCATCTGTTCCACACATGCACAATGGCCACAGACTTTTGGAACAAGATCCTCCTTGCCTTTGACTAGACGGTTGCTGTCCCGTTTGAAATCCAAGTCCTACTCTCTCTTGTTTTTGTGGGAAACCCCTTCAAGAAAGGAAAGGAGACCATGTGGAAGCAAATCATCTGAGCATTTATTTGGACATTTTGGAATGAAAGGAACCATAGGCTCTTCCTTAACAAAGAGCTACCTTTCATAATCTTTTTGACAACATCATTTTTCTTGCTATGTCTTGATGTAAAGAATCTCCTTATTTTCTTTCTCATAGTATGAATTCTCTACTAACCAATTGGAGAAGTTCTGTAACTCCAATGGTTTTTTTTTTGGGTTTTTCCCCCTTAATTTCAGTCACCAGTGAAATTGTTTCTTATTAAAAAAAAAAAAAAAATTATTTGTTTGATAATCTCCTCAAAATCGAACATTTTTTCCCTAGAAAAAGTGTCAATTATCTTTCTCCCCACAATCATGCATAGTTTCAGTCTAATGGTTCAACGTATCGAATAACATATTTGTTGCTCCTCATTTGAACCTCAGTTTAGTATAAAGGTTCTTCAGCAATGTCCCGTAAGGGTGTACTAACCAAAAAGGTAATAGGGTTGCTTAACTTTCGTCATTTCCCTGCCAACTTGTTTGCTTGTAGTTATGACCGTATACAACCCAATACATGGAGTGGAGCTTATCAATGTTGGGGAAAAGAAAATAGAGAATCTCCACTAAGAACTGCTTGTCCACCTGGAATATCTGTTGGTTCAGTGAGTAACTTTGAGATCAAATCATTTGATGGTTGTGCAAATCCACACTTGGGTCTAGCCGCTATTCTTTCTGCTGGATTAGATGGCCTGCGAAACCATCTTCGGTTGCCTGAACCTGTTGGTAAGTTTCTACTTTCAATATCTGAACCTGTTGGTAAGTTTCTGCTTTCATTAAAGTATTACTATTTATAAGTTAGCTGGAATATGCATGGCACTACTACTCAAAATTACAAGGCTGCATGTTCTCGGATAAAACCCTTTTCATAACGAATGAATATTGGCTTGTAATTTCATGGGTCCATACACATTGTTGGTTAACTCCACCTTTACTTGGGGCAAAAAAAGCCCAAACTTTGAGGTTCTTTTAAATTATTATAATATAATTAGACTTTACTGTTGGTAAGACTATTGAAAAAAATTAGATTTCTGCCTCCAAATAATATTGACACCCCATTTAGTTCATATTATATTGAAAATATTAAATTTATCATAGCTATAAGGTCTAGGGGTGACTTAAATCTCCAAATAGTATTGACTCCCAAGGATAGTTATTGCGTTGAATCATTCAAAACCTGTTTAGACAATGGAATGTTGAAAAAAAAAATGGTGAACCATTCAAAACAAAACCTGCTTAGACAATGAATGACGTTCCGACAACAGAACTAGTTGTCCACCAAGTGAAGTAGTGGCATAAAATGTTATAGGTTTGATTGGACTAGGCATTGTCCTATCCTAATGGAAACTCTCAACATAAGTCAGAGCGACTCTGAGATTTCAACTAGAATCCCAGAAAGGCTGTAGCCAAGATTTAGAACACATTCATTCACAATGTGCAAGGTTATCATTGACAATAGTGAATTTGTAGAGACTGCCAAAGTGGTCATAACCTTGAAGCTTGCACACAAAACTCCCTGAATACCTTATAATATAGTTGGATAGAGAAAGGGACAGAAATATGATATAGGATGGACTCTTTCCACATGCTTTTAGAGTGACCATGACAGTGTGATGTACAGTCCCAAGACCATATCTTTATGGGATGCACTTTCTCCTCCCAGATCTGGAGGCTTTTTCTTTCAGGTTTTGGTTGGTAGAGGGTCTCCAAGCAACACTGCCCAATGGATTTCGCAGATCATCTTTTCAAGAAAGTAAAGAAGACTCTTTGGCATCACCTCAATAGAGCGTCATATGGTCCTATGGAATGAGAGAAATTCCAATTTTTTTCAGAACAAGAAAAGTTCTTCGGTGTATTTATCTGAGCACATTATGTTTTTGGCACTATCTTCGTGTAATAATGTCTCCCCTTTTTGTAATTATAGTATGAATGTTCTTACATCTAATTGGAGAAGTTATTTTATCGTCATTGGATAGGTTCATCACCCCCTTTGTATAATACCGTCAATGAAATTGTTGTTTCCTACCAAAAAAAAAAAGGGTAGAACACATTAGTTTTCCTTTTAACTTGTTAAAAATGAAAAACACATATTAGTTTATATAGAATGACAAGAGATGTCAGCTACCCTATGTTCTTACGGGAGAAAATAAACAAGGACTCAATATGTTGTTCACCTTGTCTCGAGTAAATAAATTAAAAAAGAGTTAGATTCACTTGATAGAATTGTAGGGTGGTGGTGAAGGGTTTAAAAACTACACCATGTGGGGATGGCAGTTTCGCCTTGTAGAAACTATTGATAACTTTAGTATATTTGTAGGTGTCACCGTCTTGAAACTACACCATGTGCTACACCATGTGGTGAACAGTTGTTCACTTATTAGAACCGTAGGCCACTGGAATGGCAGAATAGTTGATAGTTTTATATATATTTCTTTTAGGGGGGACATTATCAATCTAGACATGACACTTTTCATATGCTTGTGTTATTGATAAAGTTTCCATTACACTTGTTGGATTCACTCAACGTTACACACTTTCCAAGAATGTGTGCAAAGTACTTCAAGTCTTTTTTCAAAAAGTTTTATGTTGTATTCTAATAAAAACTTGGATGTGTATGATAAGCAGATAAGAATCCTTCCGACCTTTGTTTAGAGCTCCAAAGGTTGCCCAAATCGCTTTCTGAATCTGTGGAAGCTCTGGAAAAGAACAATACCTTGACAGATCTTATAGGTGAAAAATTGGTGGTTTCCATAAAGGCAATTCGGAAGGTATGTTTGCAATTTAACTTCTAACAATGATCTCACAGTCCATAAATTAGTTTAAATTTCATTCTGAATATTGCTATGGCTTTATAATTTTCACTAATAATGCCTCACCATTTGGATATGTTCTTATTCTTTTGATAACCATATATTTTATCCTATATATGTCCATGTCTGGCTTGACCACATCTTTTCCTATTCTAGTTTTCAATCTCAGTTTGTGAGAGTTCTTTTTGAAAATGTTCATTTTAGAGAGGAATATTGTAACTTCCATTTTAATTCCTTTTTATTCAAATAGAAAACAAAAAACTGAGAAGCAAACGCTTTTCTGTTTATTTATTATTATTATTATTATTTTGCGTTTCAAATTTATAAGAAAATGGAAACAAAGATTATAGATGGGGTATCAAACAAGTCATTCGACTACATCATTCTCAAGCATATCTTTGAATGTAGTTCTTCCAGAATTGCATATGGAATTAGAAAATAGGTTCCTCATTTACCAAGTACTGGGATGCTGCATGCAAGTTATTTTACTTGTAATCAACATATTTTTTTACTTTCATTTCAAAGACTAAGAGCTTCTTCCTCCACATTCAAAAATTTGATATTTGCAGGCAGAGGTGGAGTACTACTCGAAGCATCCGGATGCATACAAGCAACTTATACACCGCTACTAGGAACCAACCCGAACTCGCTCCAGTGTTCAGCGGAAACTTTCCAAAGGTTCTTTTTTTCCCCTTGGTACAGAAACTTCTCAAAGGTTTGTAAAGAAGGTTGACCTTTTCGTCGTGATAATATAGGTTTTTTTTCTTGATAATAATTTCGTTTAAGAAGTTGAACCACTTTTTGTCTTAACAGGTTGGAATGGCTTATCCAAGAATGCAAAAGTTTGTTGGAAGCTTTCTTTGCAGCATCAGCTTGAAGTCTGGCTTTTGATGACCGACTGTCAATTGTCTGTTCTTATCCATTGTGATAGGTGATGTGATGTGCTCAACGGTAATGTCTTGGTGTTTATAAATATTTCCGAACAATTATTGGTTGCAATTTCTTGGTTTCAGTGTTGTGACTGTTCAGTTTGTGAAGAAAACTCACTACATATATTCATATTCTGGATTGGCCTTGTAAGATTATGCGATGCTAGAAAAATTTGAGTTGCTTTTCGCTCTTGAGGGGCATCAGGGCATCATGCTGATGTTTGGTGTCTTGGAATCAGCAACCGTTGTGATGATGTCCAAATGACATTTCACTATCATTGTTTTTTCAATGTAATTTCAAAACGTTGCTGGTTCGTTTAGGTATTTTAAAAAGTGACTATTTTTGTCTCTATTTATAAAATTTTAACCTAAAATTTATATACAATTGAAACTCTTTAGATACAATTTTATGACTACATTTCAAGAAATTTTGTGAATGAAATGTTGTGCTAAAATTGTGATTAAAATAAATGAGATAAAGGTTAAAATAAATGAATCAAAATAGTCGATTTTTAAAAATACATAAACTAAATGAATCGAGAGGACAATCTTTCAATGCGTTCGAGAGATCAACCTTGAGTGTATAGATAGAGAAGACAAAGTTCAGGTTTAGGTACGATATATCAAATCTAGATAAAGTATCTGCCCACTTCTTCCACTTGTGTTAGGATTTCATAGGTCTCAAAATTGAGGAAAATTTTTTGGTACTATGAGTGTCATACTTTATTCTATTTATATAAATAGAAAAAATGGACTCCACATCATTTTTAACGTGATGTGGCAAATGGTAAATATATGATACTCGTGTAGTACCAGAAGTAGATTTCGTATCTCCTAATTTAGTTGGTGGTTGTGTGGCATATTGTACACATTAGACAAACACGAACTTAAATCAAATTGAGTTGAAGTAGTTTTATTAGCTAGATCCAACATTAATTAATTAAACAAAAATACATTGACTTAAAAAGAAAATTTGTTCATTAAAAAGAAACAAATTGTTATTTGAAAGAGTTTTTTTCTCTTTAATCTCCCCCAATTTAATTGACATATATTATTTCTGTGTTGGAAATAGAAGTAGATCTCATATAATGTTGATGTTGATGTGGTAAACAGTGAATAGAAGGGAGTAATACTCCCGTGGTACCATAAATTTTTTCCAAATTTGGAAAAGAAAAGGAAGGGACAGGGTCGAACAATATTCAGAAAATTCCCTTGTTTAACTCCCGAACTCACATTTACATCCTCAACCCAACATACACCTTAAATTTAGAAACCAACTAAAATTTTTGGAACCATTTATCAGGGAAACAAAGAACAAACCAAATACATCACAAAACAAAAGAAAAAAGAAGCGAAAACCTTGAGACTAGGCTATACCAAAACTTTTGGTTTTTGGTATACTTTTTCTTATAGGTGCAATATGACGATTCCATCGCTAGGCCTGTGGGCGTGTCTGGTCTTCCATGCCATGTTGTTGCTTATTGTCCATGCAAATGCAAATGCAAATTTCTCGTTTGGGCATGCGCTTCGTCCAGTGCACAGGCAATTAGGTGCGCAGACTACTACTAAGCGTCACCGCCCGCCGTTCAAGCCCGGCCCTTGGAAGACTGCTCGTGCCACTTTCTATGAGGGCGGCTCGGGAACGTTCGGTATGTCAACTCTCATTTTGGAGAGATCATTTGTTTAATTGTTGTTGATATTATGCATTAATTGAGATTAATTTTGGTGTAAAACTAAGTTTTCTAATTTTGAGAGATTATGTGGAAGTAAAATTTGCAACAATCTTGGTCGAAAATTGCAATATTTTGCGGGAGTGGTGTGTGATTTGCATGGGCATGCATGCATGCAGGAGGTGCATGTGGGTACGAGGACGTGGAAAAGGAAGGGTATGGGATGGCGACCGTAGCGGTGAGCCCGGCGCTGTTCAACAACGGCCAGACTTGCGGCGCCTGCTTCGAGATCAAATGCGTTGAGGATCAGCAGTTGTGCAAGCCCGGGCAGCCGTCGCTCGTTGTAACGGCCACCAACCACTGCCCTCCCAATCACAACCTTGCCAATGACGATGGCGGATGGTGCAATCCCCCGCAAGAGCACTTCGATATAGCCAAGCCTGCTTTCCCCAATATTGCAGACTACAAGGCTGGCGTTGTTCCCATCAACTACCGCAGGTAATAACTCATTAATTACTTCTAATTTAGTAATCTGAACCTAACTTAATATCGTTTCTTACCTTTCGTCCCAAAAAAATAAATAATTTTTAATGTGTATGATTTTGATTTCTAATTGATCTTTAAATTGAGTTAGTCTGGACCTAACGGAATAAGTGATGTGCGGTTGACTAAATGTATATTTGGGAGTGATTTTAGCGTGGCTATAATCACTTTTATTAATGTCAAAATCACTCCAATTTCAAAATTACATTAGGTTAATTTACAATAATTCTAAAGTGAATAATTCTAAAGTGATTTTGAAATCTATGATAATTTTTAAGTGATTCCCATCAGATAACTTGAAAGATGATTCCAAGTGAATTTTGCTCGAAAGATTAATAGTAAATTAGTTTTTAAAATGATTATTGTTTTAAATTTCAAATTTGTCTGTCTATTTCCCTTATTTTCATCATAAAATTTAAGAAATTTAATTCTTCTCATTTCTAAAATTTTTCTCAGTCTCTAACTTTTATTTATCTCTAATTGTGTTTATACTTTTGTCAAATCCTTTTTTAAACTTCAAAATAATATTAATGATTAAAAATCACTTTTAATTCTATAAAACTCATTATAGGGTTCATTATGAGATTGATTGTGATTAATGAATGATTATTATATTTATAGGGTTCCGTGCAAAAAGCAAGGAGGAATTCGATTCACAATAACTGGGAATCCATACTACAACGAAGTGTTGGTGTGGAACGTGGGAGGGGCTGGAGACGTGACCAGCGTCCAAGTGAAGGGCCACCGCAAGCTCAAATGGACCACCATGACTCGTATGTGGGGTCAGAAATGGACCACCAACGCCATGCTCGTCGACGAGTCCCTCACCTTCCGAGTCCGAACCAGCGACGGCCGGTTCTCAACTTCTTGGCATGTCGCTCCCTCCAATTGGCAGTTTGGCCAGACCTTCGAAGGCAAAAACTTCAAGTAATTACTCGAAAATACTCGACTCCAGTCTCTTTGCCAGTTAAAGCTCATCTATTTTGTACTGACAGTCGTTTAATAGCTTGACAATTAGGAAACAATAATGAGTTGTCAAGTAGTCGGTAAACCTTTTGTTACCTTTTTGTGTACTTGCTATTTCTTTACTATTTTGTTAACAATATAATGGTTAGTTGCATTATTCTGCCTATTAACTTCAAAGATAAACTATTTTTTTACGACAAGAAACAACGATGTAGGGGTTTGAACACAGGACATCCCGTTTTGATACCATCTAAACCACCCCTCAATTCAAAAACTTAAACTTGATGGGTTCGATAAATTTAATTCATATATTAATATCTAACAAACTCTTCTGGTTTTTTTTTTAAGTTCTAAACACCTCTCGTTTTGGACCATACTACTTTTGCAATAATTGGTACTTCTGATTGTGTTAAATTCACAAATTATTTAATTACGATTGATTAAGTTTTTTTTTACATATTTATCTGTTTGCTTGTAAATAAATTTTAATTTAATTTCAACTAGGTATAAATTAATTTTACTACTCATTTAAATTATTGTTTAAATCGATGAAATTATGAAACCATACCAAATCAATTACATGGTATATAACTTAAAAATTGTTGTAAAAAATAATTGGATGAACCAAGAACAAGACACAGAAATTAGAGCCTATTTTTTGGCATTTATTGTTGGTGACGAATACCGAAAATGGAGGATCAACCAGGAAGACTTGCTCCATAAATACCACTTAATTTTTTTTTTATCACTTAATAAATACCAAATCCAAAAATCCACAATGGCCAATTAATTTCTATAGCTTTTGTAATTGGCTGGATAAATACTCTTCTCTTCTCCTCATCAAACATATTCTAAAAACAAAAACCCACATCCATGGCTGCGTTTCAAAGTACAGTTCATGTTGGGGCTTTTGTTCACAATCTTCTTCTTTTCAGGTACATTTTATCTAAATTTTTTTTTTAATATGCGAAGTGATTAAATCAACCTATAAGATAAAACAACTCGACTTCGATTCTTGAATAATCCAAATCACTTTTGCTTCTATTGTAACAAAAGATTCTTTTTTTTTTTTTAGATTAGGTGTAAAAGACTCGTGTCAATTTATGATTTTACGTATGGACAATTCTTCGATAGATTATTGTTCATTCATAGCAAAATATTTTCTTTGTGCTTCGAGTCACAGGTATCTAAGATATTCATACCTAACTATTTTCCACCAAAGTGGTAACGAAATGATATAACTCTTGTACAAATTTTTCCTATAAAGATGTTTGTGAGTGATTTTGGTATGGTTAGAATCACTTTTACTCATGCCAAAATCATTTACATTTCAAAATAGAATGTTTTGCAATAATTCATAAGTAATTTTAGAAAAATCCAAAATCACTCTGAAGTGATTTCCAGTTGGAGAGTAATTCTCCAAATTATTTTTGACCAAAAAATTAATATAAAATTAGTTTGTGAAATGGTTATTGTTTTAATTTTTAAAAACGGTCTTTCTATTCATCTTAATTTCACCTTAAATTTTGTGATTTTGTGATTTTTAGTTTCCATCTATTTTCTAAGTTTATTTCTCGGTTTAAAATTTTTGTCTGTCACTTTCTAAAATTCATTTTTCTAAGATTTTTGTTCTCTCTATGCAGATTTTGTTCAAATTCTCTCTTTAAACTTGAAATATTAAACATTCAAAATCATTTTAATTATATAAAAAATAACTTGAAAAAGTGTCTGACAAAACGTTAAAATAATTATATAAAAATTACTTTCACAAAATCAATTATCATCCATTCTAAAACCATTCCCAAACAAATCCTAAAAACATGGTTTATTCTCTCTTTTTTTTTTTTGGAAGAACCTAAGAAATCAGATTGTAATTTTGATTCATAATTCAATTCTTATTAAAAAGTGTGTTTGTTCTTGTATTCCAATTTCCAATTGATAATATATAGATACTTGGCCGGTCTTTTCTTTTAATTTTTAATTTTTATCTTTTTCCAAAAGTAGTGATTATGAATCATGGAGGGTGAAAAATCTTATTGTATAAAAAATTAATTAAGATACGTTTTTAGAATGGAAAATAAAAGGAATAAATGAAAACGGGTCAACTTTAAAAAATAAAATACCAACAATTGAAAGTTTTATCAAACAAACCTTAGTTTAATTTTCCTTCTACAGTAACAAATGTCTCCATTTGACTTTTATTTCTAATATAACATTACAAACCTTAAATATATCTTTTTAAATAAATATAATTCAATAGTTAATACATATTTAATTCATAAGATATTATTAAAAGAAATATATATGAACAAACGTGAGAGTAGAGATCACAGAGACATAAAATCTTCATTCTTCCATTCATTCAATTCATTCAATTTCAAAGTCGAATATAAAGTTCAATGAATCACTAACACATCAATTATTATCTCTAACATTAGTACTTTAATATTTTAATTATAGATTTGAATAATGTGTAAGGGAAAAAACTCAAATTTTAGAAACAATTTGTTTTATTCAATAATCATATTATATCTGTAGGGGTATACACGGTCAATTTCTCCATTAAAAACAATTGTCCGTACACAATCTGGCCTGGAGCCGTAACTAGTTCTGGCAATACACTGTCGACAACCGGGTTCGAATTACCAACAGGTACGATAGTAAAGTCGACCATTTCTTCACCATGGTCCGGTCGGTTTTGGGCTCGAACCCATTGTTCCAAGGACGCACGTGGAAAATTTTCTTGTGGAACTGGTGACTGTGCCTCTGGCCAAGTCACGTGCAATGGTGCTGTCGGAATTCCACCGGCTACCCTCGTCGAATTTACCATAGCCCCAAACGGGGGCCAAGATTTCTTTGACATTAGCCTCGTCGACGGCTTTAACTTGCCCATTTCGGTTGTCCCACTAGCCGTTAAAGGGCAAGACGGCACGGTGATTGCCTGTAAAAGTGCATGTATCGCTTTCGAAAAGCCGGAATTTTGCTGCAGCGGCGACCATAACAAGCCAGAAACTTGTCCGCCCACCAATTATTCGACGATATTCAAGAATCAGTGTCCTCAGGCTTATAGCTATGCATACGATGATGAGACTAGCACTTTCATATGTTTATAACTCACTCGTGAAATTAAAACTTACTTATTCCATTTAATCTCTTGGAAATTGATTTTTGTTATAAAAAAATTATCCATTAATTAAAATGCGGATGGACTAACCCATTGAGCTTTTTTTCTCTTTTTTTTTTTTCCTTTTGAAAAAAAAAAAACCATTGAGGCATTGATAGCTTCTTCATAGAAACTATCATTATTAAATCTATATATCATTATTTATTGTGATTTAATTGACAACTTTCAATTATAACTTAAAAAAAACAATGGACGAAATATAGAAAAGGTTTTGAACTGTGAGTAATAGTTATGATTCATTTCGTACTAAAAAGAAAAAAGAAATATATATATATATATATATATATATAATGATTCATTTCCTTTTCACAAGAAATGAAATAAAATAGTATAATTCATTTTGAATTCAAGCAGGAGAGAACAGATAACATTTTCAAATTAACTAATATAAGAGATGTTTTAGTCCTGATAGTTTTACTATTAATTATTATGAGCACCGCACGCAAAATTTTGAACTTTAATAGTATATCAATCAGTTAAAATTTTCTAAAAGTGAATCAATTAAAAAAAATTTAGCAGTTTATTTAAATAAACGACATTTTGATTGAATATATACTTTAACCCACTGAACTTTTAATTCGGACTAAATCAAATATTTCATATTCATCTTCTTCCTTTCAGTGAGAAAATTAATTCAGATATCACAATTGAAATAAAACTCTTCTTAATATATGGTGGGAGCTTATTTTAGGGAAAGTTATTCCCAAAAGCATTCTCATTTATTACAATAAATAAATAAATAAATAATATATATATATATATTTTTTTTTTAATTTATACAATATTTTCTCTTTAATCTCATTGTTGTTAGTAATTTTAAGTTTTTTTTTTTTTTTGGGGGACATTATCCCTTACATATAGGTAATATTTTTTCTATAGGTAATATCTTTAATAAATATTTCTGCATGTATTTATTTATTGAAGAATTGTGTCTAACCATAAGCACCATTTTTGTTGGACCAAACTATTGCGTTGGAATTGATACTTTTGGTAGTGTTGGGTGTTTTTTTAAACTCTATTTCAACGTTTTATTGTTGTGTTTCTCTGCTTTTTTACGCACTCAAATTTATTGCCATGTTCAGACTTGATTTAAATATATATTTTTAGTATTGTATGATTTGTCAGTTTGTTTGTGTAAATAATTTTGGGATTTAATTTAAAAAAAATATGTTAATTATACTACTCATCTAAATTTATTGTTAATTATACATATAACTTAAAATATTTCTTAAAAAATAATGGGATGAACCAAGGATAAGACAGAGAAGTTAGAGCCTATTTTTGAGCATTTAACAGTTTTTTTTTTAATTTGGAAACACGAGATTATGAGTTAATTAATAATTTAACACGCATATTAATATCTTGTTTTTTCTTTTTATAGTAAATGGACTTTAATTTCTATACCTTTTGTAATGGGAGACATGGGCTATATAAATAGTCTTCTCTTTCTCTTGTCCTCATCAAACATATTTTATTCACAAACAAAAGAAGAAAAATCCACATTCATGGCTGCATTTCAAGGACAGTTGTTCAGACTTTCATTGGTAATCCTGTTCTTTTCAGGTACATTTTTTATTTTGACAAAATAAAAATTTTTAAAAAATGTTTGAAGCTATTGAACCAAAATTATGAATCTGACTTTTTTTAATTTTTTAATTTTTTTTTATGTAATGGTATTCTGAAAACCTAATTGATAGTGCAATTATGAATTAAAAGTATATTTGTTCCAGTATTCCAATAGATAAGAGGTAGATTATAGACTCTTTTTTTCTTTTTCAAAATTACTCATTGGATTATGAAGGTAAATATAGTCGTTTATTAATTGAAAAATCTTATATATAAAAAAAAAATTAAGTAGAATGAAAAATAAAAGAAGATACAAGAAAACGTATAAAAAAATTATCAAACAGCCTTTAATTTTATTTTCATTCTATAAAATGGCAAATAAAATTTTATTTATGATCTTGAATCACGTAGCTAGATTGTGTAACAAATGTTTCCACTTGATTTTTCGTTTTAATATAACACTACAAACGTTCCTTAAAAAAAGCATTACAAACCTTCCTTTTTTTTAATAAGTACAAATTATAAGTTATATATAAAAAAGAAATAAACAAAGGTGAGAATAAAATTACGGAAAAAATAACTCCAAATATAACTAATAAATAAGGTATTATCTTTAAGATGGGTGGTTTGAATTTTCTAAAAAATGGTTTGATAACAAATTAATAAAAAAATTAAATAAAAATTTTAGAAACAAATTTATTAATTTAATAATTATATTACATTTGCAGGGGTTTACTCGGTCAATTTCTCCATTAAAAACAATTGTCCATTCCAAATCTGGCCTGGAACCTTAACGGGTTCCGGCAATCAACTGTCAACAACTGGGTTTGAATTAGCATCTAGTTCGACCACAACAGCGACTGTTTCTCCACCGTGGTCCGGTCGATTTTGGGCTCGAACCCACTGCTTCACAGGCGAGAGTGGAAAATTCTCATGTGGAACTGCCGACTGCGCCTCCGGCCAAGTCACATGTAATGGTGCGGGTGCAATTCCACCAGCTAGCCTTGTCGAATTCACCATAGCCCCAAACGGTGGCCAAGATTTCTTCGACATCAGCCTCGTCGATGGCTTCAACTTGCCCGTCTCGGTGGTTCCACTCGGCGGGTCGGGCGAGTGCGCAACGGTAACTTGTGTCGGAAATGTAAATTCTGTTTGTCCGCCGGAACTAGCCGTTAGAGGGCAAGATGGAGCAGTGGTAGCATGTAAAAGTGCTTGTATGGCTTTCAACACGCCGGAATTCTGCTGCAGTGGCGACCATAATCAGCCGCAAACTTGTCCGCCGACGAGATACTCGATGATATTCAAGAACCAGTGTCCTCAAGCTTATAGTTATGCTTACGATGATAGGACTAGTACTTTTACGTGCTCGGGTGGAGCCGATTACGCCATCACATTTTGTCCTTAATGTATGGTGTATTGGCGATCGATCGAGTTTGATGAATAAATAAAAGGCTGAATATGTAATTCGATTATATCTAATCAAAATTTTCTAACAAATCAAATCAAAATAAAATCAAACTCCTCCTGGATAATCAGCAAAATAATATCAATCAAATTATAAATAAATTTATAAATATTCAACAAAATATTTATCGTAATTAAGAATATAGTTATATCTATTTCAAAATAAACTTAGAAATTAAAAGTTAAAATAAATCCAAGTGAGTGATTTACCCTATATGAAATTTTTTTTTTTTAACAATGAATAAGAGTTAAAAGGCTGAGAAGTTGTTATAGCGAGCATCAGCAGGCATATACCAAGTTGGAGCTTATTTTCGTTCAGTTTTTTTTTTCTGTTAGGATGAACGTGGACTTGCTCTATTCATTAAAAATCAACAGTTTCTTTCCTGTTTTGGAAACACGAAACTATCGGTTAATAACTTAACACTCATAACAAATGGGCCATTAATATCACTTTTTTCTTTTTATAGTAAATAAATGGACACTAATTGCTATACATTTTGTAATACGAGAAATGGGCTATATAAATAGAATACCCTTCTCTTCTCTTGTCCTCATCAAACATATTATATTCATAAACAACTTTTTTTTATAGGAAACGGAAGTCTAATTTTAAAATGACAATAATTTTAAAATGACAATTTTATCAAAATAAAATATATATGCAATATATTTGACTACTGATATATGTCTGATATACTATTGATATAACTGTCTAATATATTTAGACTACATATGTGATCTCATATACTACTTATATGAATGTCTGATATATTACTGAAATGAAAATTTATGCTATATTTGAAAATTTTTAAAAATAGGCGACATATTTTGAAATATATAAAAGATTTTTTCACTGCAATTCTCCAAAATCTATTGTATTTTTAAAATGTTGGAAGCAATTAAGATCGATGGTTTTAATTTCTAGAAAAAACAGAAAAAAAAATTGATCTCATTGTGAATTTGTTGAACTAAAAAACAATTTTAATTTTAGAAACAATTTTTTAATTTAATAATTATACCATATTTGCAGGGTTTACTCAGTCAATTTTTCAATTAAAAATAATTGTGCGTTCCCAATCTGGCCTGGAACGCTAAATAGTTTTGGCGATAAATTTTTAACAACCCCGTTTGGATTACCATCTGGTTCGACCTCAATAACGACTATTCACATGAGCCGTGCATCGGTCGGTTCTGGGCTCGAAGCCATTGCTTTGTAGACGCGAATGGAAATAATGTATCTTGCGGAGCCGACTGCGTTCCAGGCCACGTCGAGTGTCACGGCATGTGCGCACCGGTTAGCATCATTGATTTCACCATAGCCCCAAAGGGCGGCCAAGATTTCTATGACATCAGTCTCGTTTACGGCTTCAACGAACTTGCCCGTCTCGGTGGTTCCACAAAGCAGGTGTCGAGTGAATGCACAAAGATAGCTTGTGTCCAGCGGAAATATAAACTCAAACTCCGCATGTCCGCCAGAACTAGCGGTTAAAGGAAAAGATGGCGCGGTGGTAGCATGTAAAAGTGCTTGTTTGGCTTTCAACAAGTCGGAATACTGCTGCAGTGGCGATCATGATCGGCCGAAAACTTGTTCATCGACGAAATATTCAAAGATATTCAAGGATCAGTGTCCTCAAGCTATTAGTTATGCTTTCGATGATATTACAAGTACTATTCAATGCTCGGGTGGGCCAGATTATGGCATCACATTTTGTCCTTGATGTGTATTGTCGATCATTCGAGCTTGATGAATAAATGAAATGTTGATAATTCGTTTATATATTATAAAAATTTATATAGAAAAAAACATAATCAAAGCAAATCAATTTCCATTTGATGGAGACAGTTTTCTGAGTCAAATTTTGAGTTGATTGAAACTGGAGTCTGGACAATCTGGAATGATCGAAATGCGGTTAGAGTCCAAAAATAAATTCCAGATGCTAAGATTAGAAGTGATTGGATCATTTATTATGTGAAGGAGTTCAAGACCACTCATGGTTCACCTCGTGCTGAATCGAGTTGTCCAGGTAGCAATAGAAACCTCCCTCGTACTGTTGAAAACTCGTGGTCGCCTCCTCTGGCAAGCTAGGTTAAGTTTAAGAACCGGAGTAGGTGTTGTTGGCATAAATGAACAAGGGAAAATCATAGCAAGCAGCTTCTCGTGGCGTTCAGGGGTACCTCGAGCCCAGAACCCTTGCTGTTCTTGAAGGCATTCGGTTGGCTGATCGATTGAACATACGTATGGTTCAATTTGATTCTCAGTTGATAAATCTCGTCTCAAAAGAATCTGGTAATCGTTGCAAAACAAGTGTGTGAGTTGAGGATATTCGTTTTTTGGCGAAGAAGTTTACCCACATTCACAAATTTAATCTAGAAGAGAAAAATGACGTAAAATAAACTTTCTGATCTTTGTGGTTTGAGTAATATGTACATGTATTTGTCAATGTAATTTAAAAACAACACTTCAGTTTTTGAAATTTGAAATTTTATTCTAATAGACTGTTATTTAATGAACCACATGACATTTAATTTGCTAACTAAATTTGTTGATATATATTTTCTAATGTGCTAACTAGGTTTGTTGATATATATTTTCTAATGAGTTACAAGTTTTTCTAATATATATTATTTTTTACTTATGTGGTATTTCTCTGTCCTCCAACGATTGTCCGACTATTGCTCCAATCGTTGCTACCTTCTTTTGTTCGTTCATTGCCATTATCTCCTTTGTTGCAACTATTCCTTTTCTTCCTCCTTTTTGATTATCGTTCATCTCTCCATAGGGGTTGTTTGACCATCATTATAAATCTAGAATGAGAGTCACTCTTCTACCTTCATTCCATATTAGAAACGAACCACATTTTCGTCGGAGAAGTTGAATAATGAGTGGGTCGTTCATTAGAGGAGGGGACAGTGGGAATAAATGAGTGAATCACTACTGAGTGAAATACCAAAATAATATTTTAACCTAAATTTTACAAAAGTTATTGGTTGGAAAATACAAATATGATGTCTTATTTATATTCCATTCATAATAGAAACTTTTGATCATTGCATACTTTTTTAACTCTTTTTTTTTTTTTGGACGAGTTGAAAGTTAGGATTTGCCAACCTTTTTGACTAAGAAATGTGTAGCTATCTTATTTTTAATAATTTATTTATTTTCTAAAAGGTCTAATATATGTGTATATATATATATATATTTTTTTGGTAAAGGTCTAAAATAATCTTAAATCTTAATTTAATCCTTAATCAATTTATTAACCGCGAGTTTACAAAAATTCGTCTAAAATGGTACGCGCCATAAATTTTAAAATATTCAAAAGGTAACGTGGCAAAGCGCGAAAACATTTTACTTTTGGATACAATCTCACCCGTTCGATTAGTTTATCTCAATCGTACGGTATTAAACTAGTAATCCGCGTCCCTAGAGATGCACCAATCAGATTGCTCCCAGCGCTCCTATATAGCCAAAACCCTAATTCCTCAGCCTCATAATTCCTTCCCGATCGAATTCTCTCATTTGAAACCCGAAGGTTCGTTCAGTTGAAATGGCTCCAAGAGCAGAGAAGAAGCCAGCGGAGAAGGCGCCAGCCGAAAAGAAGCCTCGAGCGGAGAAGAAGCTCCCGAAAGACGCATCATCTGAAAAGAAGAAGAAGAAGATGAAGAAGAGCGTGGAGACCTACAAGCTTTACCTCTTCAAGGTCTTGAAGCAGGTACATCCCGATATCGGAATTTCTAGCAAGGCCATGGGAATTATGAACAGTTTTATCAACGACATTTTCGAGAAGTTGGCTCAGGAGTCGTCGCGATTGGCTAGGTATAACAAGAAGCCGACGATCACCTCAAGGGAGATCCAAACGGCCGTGCGGCTGGTGCTTCCAGGTGAGCTTGCGAAGCACGCCGTATCCGAGGGAACGAAGGCGGTAACCAAATTCACCAGCTCTTAGAACTTTCTATCTCGATTTTAGGGTTTAGTGTTTGACGATATAGACGGCCTTGTAATTTTTGGTCTGGTTTAATTTACTATGAAACTGAAGAGTTTGAAGTTGATATGAATTACTTAGTTAGATGCACTGTTCTTCGCACTCTTGTATAGGAGTGATCGGGAAGTCTAGATTTGTTCGGACATCATCAGTGATAATCTGCGGGTGTTTGAATTGAACACGACCTTTTGGAAGAAAAATTTATTCGGAAAGTTACACATTACTGGATTTTTTTAAAGAACGAATGGGTCAATTGATTTGTTATCAAACATTTTCCCTTTTCCTGTACTCAAAATTGTTTGAATACGAATGGCGCAAGCCGCGTGGTAGTTTATTATAGATGTTTATATTTCAATTATTTAAAATGGGATACAATTTCAATATTTTGGAACTATAATATCGTATTCCAAAGTGAGGAGTGGGCGAGAATGGCCGATTTGAAATGTGAATAACAGGCAAGACGAAACGGAAGCACGAGATTGATGCTACCACTTGGGCCCAGGGGGCTACATAGATTATTGGTCCTGTAGGAGGCCCAGCCCAAGAAGGCAACTTAATATTTGATCCGGCGCTGACCGTGACCGGTGAGTGAGGACTGACAAGCGGCGAATGCCACGTCATTTCGTGGTTGCACTGCATTATTAACCACCGAGCGCTTCACAGACGTGAAGACAGCACGATAGCGAAAGCAGTGACGATTTTTGAATTTGATTTTAGTTTTAATTTTTTTACTTTTTTTTGCGGCGATTTTAGTGGTCGAGAAATTTCAAAAATGTATTTTAAATATTCATGGACTTTGTTATTTTTTCCTGCAAGTGGTTAATTTTTTTTTCTTTTTTTCGTGAAATTTGAATTCACAATTTTAGAGATATATGTTAATTAATGTTGAATTATGTTTTCGCCGGCAATTGGTAAATTAATGATTAAGGTTTTTTTTTTTCGATAACATTCTCAATTTTATTTATGGTATAACAAATTAGAAATGGAAACAGTTAATAAATTTATTTATATTATTTGCAAAATTTCTATACAATTTTAATAATATTTTTTTTTAAAATGAAAAATAATAAATATAAATAATCGTCAAAATGTCTAGATTTTCTTAATAAAATTAAAAACGAATACATATTTATTGACTTCGGACTTTAATTTTCTTAATAAAATTAAAAACGAATACATATTGAATGACTTTGGACTTTAATTTCAATGAGTTGTGTCTCTTTAGACTATAATTTATAGATCTCTTAGATGCTTTTAACTATAAAATTTATGGTGAATCTCTAATTTTATAATTTTGTGTCTAACTAGTAATTGTGTTGATTATATTAGATGATTATACCATTAGTGAACCCAAACTTAGTTCAAATGGTTAATATACTTATCTCTGATTAATAGACCGTGAGTTTAAATTCTCACTCCCATTTATTGTATTCAAATAGAAAAAAAAATGATTATATCATTAAACTTGCTACATAATTCTTAAATAATACCATCAACGTGCCATAAAATTGAATACATTTAACTACGTATATTTATAGATAAAGAGTTGAAAATTTAATGACCAATTAGAACATTTTTAAAATACATAAACTAGATAAACAAAAATTATAATTAAATCTATAATCAAAAAGATAATAAGAATTTTAGACATTTAAAAAGAAACAGTTTTGGGAAATTGAGAAAGGGGGGCTGTTTGATTTGAAATACTCCTCTGAAAAATAGAATTTTGAAATTTATTTTTCGGAGATAAAAAAGATTCCTACGAAAAAATGAAAAAAAGAACACAGCTAATTTTCAGTCCTATTTTCACCTAATTCGGAAAGCTAGTTTTTGTTGTGTGCAAATAAGTGAGATTCGTAAAGATTTATGAAGGCGTGACATGTTTTCTTGCCTCGTAATTCCAATATGGACAATCAGATCAATTCAAATGTGTCACTCTACCATTTTCCACCTTCTGCTTGTATTTATTAATCCAATAATTCTCGAAACCAAAATCTTATTCACTTCCCATCAAAATAATAATATCAATAATTTTTTTTTATTATCTACGTGACGTTTGATACTCAATTTTCGATTCAGGTTCTATACATACGTTACTAGAAATATCGTAACAGCTTAAATAAAAATAAACTATAATAGAAATTTTTGAATCAAGATAATATTATTTAACAACAATATGTTTACTAATATTTCAATTTGACAACGATATTATTTTTCATTGATTGATTCAATTTTTTATTTTTTAGAACAAAATTTATTTACGAATTAATTATATTCTCAAAGTTTTAATCTATTTCATGTTAAATGTTTGTCTCAAGAAAAAGTAATGGGTTATAAAATAGATAAATTATGAATTATGATAATTTGTTAAAGACTACCAAAACATGGTGGAATTTTTGTGGTCTCCCTAACTTAGAAGCATAATGATAAATTAACAAAAACCTTGATAATAATTTTTTGTGGTCCCACTCCTCGTGTTGTATGAAAAAATAAATAAAAAACCTTTGCAATTCTTTATTATTATTATTATTTTTTTATAAATGAACAAAACCCTCCATTTAATGTTTAACCGTTTTATTTTTATTTTATTTTAAAAAATGGTGTTTAACTGTCGTATCTTTGTGTTTTATTTTTTAATTTTTGTCGGATCAGCTTGGTTTTTAAGAAAATAATATAATGTTATAAATTAAAACTCCAAAACCCTCAATTTTTTTTCAAGTACAACATGTGGGGTTCCACCCCTCTTAAGATATACGTCAATTACCAATGAGTTATGGTCGCTGTGGACAGTTAAAGTTACTCGTTTAAGAAAAAACAAATTCTCYCTCAAATAATATACTCAATAAATTTGGATGATTTTTAGCAAATTATATATGACAACTACCGAGAAGGTATACAGCCCGTATAGCCCTATATTATTAATTATTATTTTTATAATAATAAAAAATATGTAAGAGTTTTCCTTTCCTCATTATTGTTTGTATTCGTATTGTTTGTAACTAGCCACTGCATCCAAATTTTATTGCTATTTTAAAACTATGACATATTGCTACATTTGTTTTAGTATAAACATATAGAGGTAAAGATTCGAATTTACTATTTTTTTTAATCACAAATAGTACGTTAATTAATTGATCTATATTCCGTTGCTTATTACTTACCTTGTTACTCATTTACTTAATGCAAAATTGAGAAATAATTTTGTAAAGAGCGAGTACCGTTTGGCAAAAACTGAGACGTGGAAGAGTAAAGGAATATAACTACTTCAAATATAGATAATGATTATTTTGTTTGGTTTTTTAATATTTTTTAGTGTTTGGGTAGTTTGGGTGCATTTTAATTAATTTGGGACAACCGATCTTACTATATTTAGTTGTCATGAAAACTTTAGAAAATTCATTTTTAAGTAGATATGCCGTTAATTTTTTTTCCGAGCCATATTAACTCTATTGGACCATCTTTTTTATTTTAATATGGGAGTGTTCAAGGTCGATTAAAAGTTAACCGGATGGACAAAATACCAATGTCTAAAAAAAAAAATAATAAAATCTTAGATTGTCACCTTATAATTATTTTATTTTATTTTTTTTGAAAGAAACACTTTCATTCCATAGCTGTTGAATTTAGAAAAGAAAAATAAAAGTCTTATCCTATAAAATTTAGGTAGAACCGCATGGAAACATTCATATTCATTTGTATTTTATGTGAGAATATTTATTTTAGTATAGTAAGTGGAGATAAGAATTTAAATCAATTATATTAATTTATATTTTAACGAGTTGAAAGCTGTAATTGTAAGTTTAATGTGGGGGTAAAAAAAAGAATTTGAAATATATCATGGAAAAAAAAGAAGGTTTTCAGTCGGTATCCCGTTGAACTCGAAAAAAACATTTTTTTTTCCTTTATTTTGTGCCACCGTCAGTTCATAGCTGGTACGAAGAAATAAAAATGGATTTTCTTGTTGATGCATATAAGAATGCGAAGAATTCATGTCAAAAGAATTTTAGATCCACAGTTGAAGCTTGAGAATTGGTTGGCTCTTCCCCTCGCCAACTCGCCATGGTAATATAATCAAGCAGCAGCATCGCTGTGTCGACCTCTCTAGGCTATTGCTTTATTTTTTCCTTGTTGTTTCTTCCATGGCGTCGTCGGGCTCTGTAAACTCAATTCCTGCGCCAGGTTCCTTCACAATTTCAATCAATTTTTTTTTTTGCTATAATTCGGTTCTTTTAATGGATATAACGATCGTTCACGTATTCTGTAAGTTAATTTTTTGATAATTTTGTGCGTGTTTAATAATTCTGCAGAGGCTGTTCAGATTTTAGTTTCATCTCTTGCTGATGAATCACCAATAGTGAGGGAGGCGTCCATGGCTTCACTCAAGGACATTGCTGCACTGTATTCTCTCTCACTGTTTTTAGCAATTTGAGTCTGGTTTCATTCATAGTAAGTTGTGAATTGGAACTTCTGTGGTAATATCAGGAATCCGCTTTTGGTTCTCGACTGCTGTTATGCAGTTTCGCGAGGAGGACGGCGGGTAATCATAATACTTACTTCTTTATCATGCTTCATAAGAATCATTAAATGGTTGTTTTGTTTCATTTCTCCATTGAAATAGCGTTTTAAAAATTTGTGGTTATTTTCAGCGTTTCGGGAACATGGCTGGGGCTTTTCTAGTAATGTCATTCGGAGTTCGAGCCTTGGAAAAAGAAGATGTTGATCCAGCTTTCATGTCCAAGCTTGCAAAGATTTCAACGACTGAGATAATCTCTTCCAAGGTCTTTTTTCCATACTCCAGTTGTTGGGTATTTTCTATCTTTTGGTTGTTGCACTACGATAACATTTAGGAATTTGAAAATGAGTTATTTTCAAAAGAAGAAATGATATTTGATTTGGCTTGTAAATATATTAATTTCTGTATGGAAGCTTCAATTTGGAAACTTGTATCTTGATTTATGAGTCATGACTACTGTAACTTCAAGGTGGCAAGAGATCTCATGGTTTGCGATACTTTTCATTTTTCCTTCTTTGCGCTTTGTTCTACCTTCCTTATATTTTAGACTAAAGGTGGAAAAAAAGAATAACTAAGGATTCATAAGCTAGAAATTAGAATTCACCTTGAGATTGGTCGTAGTGTTTGTCAATATAGTGGTTTCTACACTTAGAATTATCTCCACTACAAGTTAAGCGTGGAAAATTTGTTATTTGTCAACATTTACCTTAACATGAACTTGAGTT